TGTCACTTTTGCTGTTGACTTGTGAAAATTTGTGGAATGATTAGCTACCAGGTGTGAAAGTTGACAGTTATTTATGATTTAATTGGTAATATTTTTAGGTCATTAACTTTATTTAAAAGTTGTTACAATTTTTAGAACAATTAAAAAAAAAAAAGTTAGCTGAAGGTAGGATCAAACCTAGATCGCCCACATGGCAAGCGAGTTCGCTACAGACTCAGCCATTTCGCTGTGCTACCATAGTGTAAAATTGATCAGTATATGAGCTGCACTTAAAACTTTAGAGCCTTTTTTCTTGGAATCTTCTGGCTAGTGCACTTTACAATTCTTCTGGGTGGACACCCTTGAGGTATACTACTAACCTGCAAAGTCTCACCCTGAACTGAATTTCCGAGATCGTAAGGTCCCCTTGTAAGCCCAAATATGTACAATAATGAAATAAAGGTAACAAAAAATTCAAAATATAAGAAAAAGATATTTTATCACACAAATATATATACTAAAAGAAACTTTTCTCAACTCTTGGGGACTTATAAATTAAATTATATCTATCTTAGAATTATCTCCACAAAACCAACAAGCAAAAATATGAAATCGAGATCTATCTAAAATTCACAAGGAAATTTTGCAAATTAATTTTGTCTGTCACCAAGAAACTTCTACGTTATCAATGGAACTTGAAAGCCTTGCTTTTACCTTGCTTGATCTTTAGCTCCACCCTGTTCAATTTTGAGCTTCACCTTCTTCTTATAGTGAAGTTGTGGTGACATTACATTATTACTCCCATTTGACCATATTTACATATTTAAGTGGCTAACATTCATATAATTCTAGTAATCTTTCTTTAAGTCGTGTCATCGTCCTTACATTTAATTTTTTATAATTTTACAATTGTTCTTTTTTGTGGCAATTTGGGGCAGAAAATTATTATTTTAACTTCCCGAGGAAGTCTTTCCCCAAGATGTTGTTTCTGGGTTCGACAACATAATAGGTTGCCACCAGCAATCATCACAATAAGGTGAGAATTTAGAATTTTGTTCATGTGAGGTGCAATGTTCCCTCTAAGCTGTGCGGCTGCGCACTGCTCAAATTGTTGCCATGCATGAGAATTTATGTGCCGCGCAGGCGAGCACGCACACCGATTTGAATTCTTGTTTACTTATTTCTCACTCTGTCTGCAACATGATTATTGCTACGTATATTTCAATTAAATATATTAAATCATTGACAAGAGATAATATTTTGTATAAAAGTATGTTTTAAAATTAATTTTAATCTCTACTTTATAACTAATTATTTTAATTTTTATAGAAAAAAATAAGATTTTTTATATATATATGCTCAGATAAATTTTTTGCTCAGAGAAGTATATGTTCCATTCATCGACAAAAAAATTAAAGGGAACATTGCATAATACCTTATAATATCAAATAGTTTTTGACTGGTCAGTGGCTCGTAGGAGCGGGACAGTCACCTTGAGATGTCCAGGCCTCAGGGTTGTGGTTTCGATTCCCTGTTGGAATCGCCCTTTTATTTTATTTTTTCATTTCATGAAAATATAATATATTTAATTCATTATAGGTATTTTTACATTCATTATATTTGAAAATCATTTTCAAATATTCATGTACATGTAAGGTTCGTGCTTAATTGTTACTTGTAAAAGACGACAAAATATAAACAATATTATCGTTATTCCAAAGCAATTTTTTTATTAAAAAAAACCATTTCAATTTATATGTCAGGACTAAATAAAGACAGATATACGAAATTTTTCAAAGTGACTTGTATATAAAAAACATAGCTGCTATTAAATTTCGGTTTACAAAAGTGCATTGGACCAAGATATATGGTGGTCACGTGATATATCTCGTTAGGCGTCAAATTTTATAAAGATTTCGCTTGTGGATATGATTTACACTGTGCTATAACACTGACAAATACCTTCGAAAATAAGTCTTTTGCTGTTTTATATTAATTAGAAATATATAATATTTGTATAACAAAATGTAATAACAGATGGCGCCACATAAAATTTCAGTTATTTCTCTTCATTAGTAATACAAATGTTCTCTTATAAAAGCCAAAAAAGTTTACACAATTTACACCAGTTCATTCAGCATGACTATCGAACATTCGACACAAAGTGCAGGTTTAGTCA